TCGAAAAAAAGTCAGTATCACCTTCACACTGCTCCGAACCTGTCGTGCTCTTTTGGCCCTCGGGGATGTTGGACACTTCCATTGTGACGCCTGGACCTTGGTTTCTGGGTCATATCCGTACACCCATGACTTGTCACCAGTGATCACAGTCTTCAGGAAATCAGGATCCCTGTTGCCGCACTCCAGCATGTGCTGAGCGACCTCAAGGCGGAGTTGTTGCTGCTCTGGCGAAAGCAGCTTGGGCACAAATTTTGCCGCCACACTTCGCATGCTCAAATCCCCAGTTAAAATTGTGTTTGCGGAACCTCTGCTGATCCAAACCTCATCAGCAACTTCACAGTTGGCCAAACGAAAGTCCTCCATGATCAGTGTCCGCACTTTTTCAATGACAGCAGCATTGACGGTCTCCCGGAACACTGCTCACTGTCCGCCGACATACGGCCATGTTTAAAGTGGTTGAACCACTCTTTAATTTGAGTGACCCCCATTGCATCATCGCAGAAAGCCTGCTGAATTTTGCAGACTGTTTCCGCTTGGGTATCGCCAAGTTTCTGACAAAACTTAATGCAGTATCGCTGCTCCAAGTGTTCTGTCATCTTGAGCGAACGAGAATGCGACGAACACGTGTTACACCACTTCGCTATCTGGCAGCCACAGACGCATCCGGCAGTGTTGCGAGTCAGCAAAAAATCACGCATGCGTACGAAAGTCCCTTCTACCACTACCCTCAGTTTCCCCACCCCTTTGACAATTACTTACAGCAGAAAGAAATAAAGTTGAATACTTTTTGGACATACGGTATACACATTTTATAAGATTTTTGCCTATTTCTTACGTTTCTATTAGATTTCATGTATATACTATGTACACCTATTAATTTGTTTGTATAATTTGAATAATGTTATGTATATTCTATATATTTATATTACTTTGAGTTCACATTTTATATATAACTATTAATATTTCTTATATATATTTTTATAGTGTCAGTGAGTACGTCGTTAATGGTTATAAAATATGTAAGGAAAAGTAACAGAAAGCAATCTCCATTCATTCATTCAT